AACCACCAGCCTTCTGGTTAGCAGTCAAGTGCCTTAGGCACTATGCCACCAGAGCTCCTTTCCCCTCCTCAGATAATAAAATTCTCTTAAATCAAGTGCAGGAGTGGCAGGCTGTAAAGCATTTGGTAATTCACAAACAGAAGTGATAAATTGGTTTACATCGATGATGCATTTTGCATTGGGTTTCCAAGGCAAAGCAAAACAGCTAGGTAGGAACAGGGATATGCCCTGGCCCTAAGGCGTCAGTCTCTGCTGAAATGGTCTTTGAGATCTTCTAGACTAAGTCCTAAGGAGCTCTGGTTGTGTAGTGGTTAAGGCATTTGTGCTCCTAACCAAAAGATCAGTGGTTCAAACAAACAGCTGCTCTGTGGAAGAAAGATGAGGCAGTCTCCTTCCATAAAGATTTGTAGCCTTGGAAACCCAATGGGGGCCACTATGAGTCGGAATCCACTCGATGACAGTTTGGTTTTTTTTTTTCTGAGACTAAGCCCTGAGCTGCCTCTGCACCCCCTCCCTTTGTGACCTCTGCAGAGCATGGTTTCTCCTGTCTGGGGAGAATGGGGTACACCCTCTAGTTCTAGAGTCTGTGAATGGGCATGCGCCATTCAAAGGTCACACAGTGAGACAGAGGTAGAGATAGCCCAAGAACCTAGGGCTCCCACCGCTCAGCCCAGGGCTCTGCCAAAGCTGCCTGCTTAGGACACAAGAGAAGGAAAAGGGGCTCCAAAAAGGGAAGAGGAGCCAGTCACTGCACCCTGGCTTCTGGCATCCAGACAGCTCCACCCCCTCTGTGGTTCCCTGCCCTTGGCCCCAACGTTGCCTGGGCTCCACTCACCAGTTGCAAAAAAGCACAGACGGAAAGAAGTAGCTAGCACATACAAGATGGCCAGGAGTCCACTGAAAGGCCCAGTCACGCCTAGGAGCAGGGCTGAGGCCAGGCCAAAGGTGGTGAAGACAGCAAAGTCATTCAGCTCAGCTCCTGCTCCAAAAGGCCCAAGGTTAGAACATGCACTCATGTGCCTGGCACCTTAGCTTCCTCTGGTGGGGGAGCTGGAGTGGTGAGGGGGACAAGCGAGATCCTGAGGTTCAGGCAACAGCTGCTCCCTCAGGGTGGTCTTAAACTAAATACTGGGGTTTCCTCCTAGTCTGTGGGATTGACCATGTGTCCTTAGACAAGTCTTTCCCTCTTCTGTCTTGCTCTTCCCATTCTAGCATGAAAACCCAAAAATAAGCAGTGCCATTGAGTAGATTCCAACTCATAGCAACCCTCTAGGATGGAGTAGAACTGCCCCCATAGGGTTTCCAAGGTTGTAAGTCCTTATGGGAGCAGACTGCCTCATCTTTCTCCCACAGAGTGGCTGGTGGGTTTGAACGACCAGCCTTTTGGTTAGCAGCCAAATGCTTTAACCAGTGCACCATCAACTCCCCTTAGCATGAAAGGATTGGATTAAAATTAGGTAATAGCAGATAAGCGACGAACACCTCTGTTTTGGTTCTCTAATGCTGCTATAACAGACATACCACAAATGTATGCTTCATCAAACAGAAATGTATTCTCTTATAGTTTAGGAGGCTAGAAGTCCAAGTTCAAAGTGCCAGCTCTAGGGGGCTGGGTGAAGGCCCTCAACCTTGGGCTTCAGCTCTGCCTCTTGCCCCGGCCCACTGGAGCTGGAGGCTTTTCTTAACTCAGGCAGCTGCTGGCTGTCGAAACTGACAAACCCAAGGTCAACAAGTAAAATGGCACAGTCCCAAAATCATCATGCAGCATGGCAGTCTTCTAGTTCAAGTCTAGAAACAGTGTCAAGATTGGCAGGCAACATGGGTAGGCCACACACTGATGACTCAGCCAAATGTAGGAACCAAATGTGCAAAGAAACTCAGAGAACATTCTCAAAGCTGCTGCTGCTGCTGCTTTTTTTTTTTTAATTGTGATTTGGGTGAAGATTTACAGAGCAATTTCACTTTCCATACAGCAGTTCACGTATACTTTGTCTCATGTCATTGACCACAGTTTACCACAATGCAACAGCTCCCCTCCCGCTTCCTCCCCATAGTTACCTCTTCCCAGTGTACATCCCTCCATGGACTCCTGCCCCCTGAGCTGTCTCCCTGTGCATAAGCAGCCCTTCTTTCTCCCATGACTGTTCTCTCCAAGGCATGTATCTACTTGAGGTAAATGTTTAACTCACATGCCTGTATTTTGTTTGGCTGGAAACCACAGGTGTGGATTCAATTCTAGACCTGAAGGGCAGCTAGGGGCCATAGTCTCAGTGGTTCCACCAGGCTCTATCGGACCAGCAAACCTGGTCCCCACCTTTTTTTTTTTTCCTCCAAATGATTTTGAGTTTTGTTCCACATTGTTCTCCCTCTCTATCCAGGATCTCCTACATAGATCCCCTTCCAAGTGGACGACAGTGGTAGCCGGGCACCATCTAGTTCTTCTGGTCTCATAGTTGTATAGGCTTCAAAGCTGCTTCTTATATATTGGAAGCAGACCACATCCCTAAGGCAGCTACTCAGCTGCTCACAGTACATTCCACCATAAAGTTGATTCATCATGGGGAATAACTACATCCAGCTGCCCAGCCAGACACTCAAAACCAGGCCCAGCAAAGATGACAAATAACTTTAACTACCACAGCCTCTTTTCAAGCAAAAAAACAGCTGCTGTCTTTGGGGGTAATTTTTTCATCTCCTCACTTGCCAACCATCCTACCTGCCTGCCACCCCACACCCACCACTAACCCTGAACAGGGAGGCAGGACAGATAAGGAAGCTGCAGCCAGAACAAAAACTGGCTGAAGATCACTAAGCGAGCCAGCAGAGGGGCTAGATTTAGTCTGGTGGGGAGGGACTCCCTAACTCCCACTCTGGGCTTTTCTTGCTGCACTTGGAGGGATGTGACAGGACTGGGTGACTGATGAAGGCCTGTTGGGTATCAGAGGATGGAGCTAGTGACCTGAGATGGATGCTCCAGGAGGGAGGGATTAGGGCTTTGAGGACTGGACTTACCTGATTTGGAGCAGATGCCAAGGTGTCTGGTCATTGTCCCAACTACCATGTCTAATAGGAAGCTGACGAGAAGCAGCCAGGAGGCACAGTGGGGTTTCCTAGAGAGCAGGCCAGATCAGGGCAGCCCTTTCACAGTCTCTGGTGGACAATCACTCCATGCTCTGCCCCCCAATACACTAACACACTTCCTACCCTTGCTCACACACATGTCCCTGCATGTCCTGCACACTCACACCCTTTCTGATGTACAAATACACACAGCTTTATGACCCCTCCACCCCCCACAAAGCAACCCCCTATGCCTACATCTCTCCAGTACTCCCAATCCATAGAGGATCCTCTGAACCCCCTAGGCAATCATGAAGATTCCTTCCAGCTCCAAATTCCAGGCACACTCCAAGGTGCAGGGGCCTGGGTCCAGCCCAGTCTCTGCCACCATCTTACTGTGAATTCTCAGATAAATCGCCCTCCCCCTAGGCCTCCATCCCCCATCTCTGAAATGAGGGGTGGGGGCTAAATGATCGATAAGTGTTCTTCCACACCCCACATTTGAGGATTCTGTGCCTCTGACCAGCACTTGCTCCCTGATCCCTCTGTGATAGCTACCAGAGTCCCAAGCAAATGCTTGGAGGTCCCTTCTCAAATCAGACCCCTGACTAGTGTGCAGCCCAACAGAAGCACCCAGGGACTGGCCACAGACTCTGAAGCCCCCAAACTACTGCAGTGTTTCCTTTGTTTAGCCCCAGGCCTATGGATCTAAAGGGAACTGAAGCTAAATGAACAGACTGGGCTCACCAGGGTGGGATAAAAATTAGACTCCAAACAATATGTTAAACTAAGAAGAGATCTGCTGCTACAAGTGTGTCCCATTTTGTGAGGCTCTGGAAGCCAACACTTAGAGAATCATATCAATGTCAAGCTGGAAGGGAACTTAGACGCCACTAGGTCAACACATCTACTTTTATGGATGAGAAACAGATCCAGAAAGGAGAAGTAACTGGCTGAAGGTTACAGAGAACCAGATTAGGGAGATGGTATTTGCAGTCCGAGGATTTGTCTTGAAAGGGCTGAGATTTCCCAAGGGCGTTGAAATATGACTCAATTTACAGATATATAATTCACTTACAATTTTGGAGGGTGATGAATATATGTCTCAGATTTTCCAGAACATGCTCATTTCAAATACCCTGCCAGACCATATGTTCTAATTTAAAAATCAGAAAATGTGAATAGTAGCCTAACCCATGATGGTGTTAAAGCCAGGGGAACAGAACTATGTGATTTTCTCATAAAAACTATTCTAAACTAATAGAACTGAAAGGAATTATAGAGATCATAGTGCAAGACCCTTGTTTTACAGATAGAGAAACTGAGGCCCAGGAAGAGGATGTGACCTAACCACGGTCACATATCAGGATGCTACAGAATTGATGCTAGGGTCTTGGCCCCTTGACTCCCAACCCACTGCACCTTCCCCTGCCCCCTAGTTGATCCCTATGCCTTCATGCCTGGCTCTCTAACATCCCCTCTCCTTCCTTCATGCCATTGGCTCCAGCTCTTGGCTGAGAGCCTGCTGGGTCCCATGCCTACCTGTAGAAGCTGCAGAAGATGGAGAAGAGCCCCAGGACCAGGTTGACTAGGGACAAGGCATTGGCAATATCCTTGCAGGAAGATTCATCCAGCTGGGGGTGGCTCTGGTCATGGGCCAGGAAGAAATTGGTGCACTGATTCAGACCTGAGGCCCAGAGGAGAGGCAAGGTCAAGGAGTCCCAAAGGTGGCTTCTAGGGACCTGTCCTTTTAAACCTCATTACAGAGCTGCACCCTCCCAACAACACTGTTTCACTGGCTGGACTAAGATGGGCAGGAGGTAGACGGAAGAGACTCAGTCCCAGGAGGTGAAAACAGAAGTGCTAAATACAGTGTCTTGGGAAAGCTCAATAGCAAACTAACTAGGTGAATCGACACGACCACAGTTTCCACTCTGTCTGTACCCCTTGTTGCATGACACAGACCTTCCTCCAGTCCATATACTGACCCTCCTGGCACTTGCATACCCCAGGGTGCACAGGGTAGCTGGTTCTGGGCTCTTCCATCATCTGAGATATCAGCCCTTTGTCACAGACTAAGGGTTGGCTGGCGGGAAAATAGACTGAGGAAGCCACTTTGCCCTACAGTTCAAGCTCACCCCCTGAAGACAGGACTGTGGCTGAGATGTCCCAGGGTCCTGCCTCTGACAAGCCCCAAGAACAGTAGGCCTAGCCCCAAAAGGGAAGCCAGGGAAAATGTTTAAAATGAACATGTACAGCATTAAAGAGCTCACAAAGCACTTTTTATATCTCTTCTCCTAATCCTAACAACCTTGGAGGTGGTGCTATACCTTTGCCCATTTTATGAATGAGGAAACTGAGGTTCAGAAAAACAGAGAGACTTGCTCAAAGTCACATTCTGTGGACTCTAAATATCCGCAGAAGGGTGTCTGCGGGCAGGCGGGAGGGGACCTTGTTCAGAGAAAGCAGCTATTGATTCTGAGTTGGGCAGCTCTCCCCTCAAGGCCTCTGTCCTCTATCTGTTAAATGAGGGGTGGGGGCTAAATGACTGGTAAGGGTTCTTCCAGACCCCACATTTGAGGATTCTGTGTCTCTGGTCAGCACCTGTTCCCAGACCCCTCTGTGATAACTACTCCCAGGCACACCCCCAGGCAAATGCTTGGAGGTCTCTTCCTAAGTCAGCCCCCTGACTACTGTGCAGCCCAGCAGAAGCATCCAGAGTGCCTGGCCACAGACTCTGAAGTCCCCAAACTACTGTACTGTTTCCCTTGTTTAGGCCCAGGCCTATGGATCCAAAGGGAACTGAGGCTAAATGAACAGACTGGGCTCACCAGGGTGGGATAAAAACCAGACTTCAACCAGTATGTTAAACTAAGAAGAGATCTGCTGCTGCAAGTGTGTCCCAATTTGTGGAGCTCGAGACACCAACACTTAGAGAATCATATCAATGTCAAGCTGGAAGGGAGCTTAGGCATCATCGCGCAGGAGCAAGCTACCCCACTCCTCTTGGCTCTCACGTTAGCAGAAGACCAGCTGGTCCTGCCCATTTTCACAGCTTGTCTTTTCTCTGTTCTTACTCTAAGATCAATCACACTTGCTGCTTATGAAACTAACTCTCTTTTGGGAAAAGAGCCCTCTCTGAAACAGAGAAGCCCACTGGTTGGGGTAAATACCCCAGCCACAAACAGCAATCCTGCACTTGCATAAAACACACAACTTCCAACTTGCTTTCATGTCTGGTTTCCCTTTTATTCCTCACTAATTTTTAGAGGTGAGGAGGCAGAGGCTTTGCCTCCAGACAGCTTCTCTGTTCAGCTCCATGCCCTTCTGGTCTGGTGCAGGGCAAGCATTGAGACAAATGATGTTCCTCTCCCACAAACCCTGCCATCAATGTGACAGAGGCTGGGAGGGGCTGTTGGATTTGGGATGGGGGGGAGCATTAGGCAGCATCATGGGACTCACTGCCCCCATAGGCCAGCTCATTCACTCATTCATCTATCGCTGAAGCCACTGGGACTTCTGGGGCCTCTCAAAACCTACCACAGGAAGCAATGTGAACCAGAGAAATCTGGCAGGAGATGGGGACAAAAGTCTGGCCACACATGCCTTCCCCATAATCTCACTGCAGTGGCTTCTCCTGAGTAGCCCAGAGTCTCAGGGCTGACCTCAGCAAGGCCAAACACCTGCTCAAGTACCCATCAATCAGTAGCTCCTCACCTGCTAACCCAGCCTACACTGCTGCCTGGCAGAGCAGCATCCCACACTTCTGCCTCTCAGAGCCCGTCAGCAGAACTGGGTCCTGTCTACCAGTCACCAGACATCACCTCATCTGTGGGCTACTTCAGAGCTGTTGTTGTTTTTAAAACTAAACTAAACTAAACTAATGATCAATTGTCCACTATGTGCTCTTTGGCTATTTCTTTCATTCACAAAGCACTTTCATATCTGTGATCTCCATTGGCCCTGAAAAAGTTGTCAAGTAAGGGTTATTATCCCTACATGGCCAGGTAAGTGGGCCAAAAAAAAAAAAAAAAAGACTCAAAGAAGGGGAGGACCTTGCTCAAGATCGATCACACAGGAAGTGGCAGAATAAGACATAGAGCTTCACCCTAACTGTTCTTTCCTCTATACTCTGCTGTCTACCAACCAACAGGACCAGCCACTGTATTGGTTACATGCTCAGCCTGAACCAGGTGCTGGGAGAACATTTGATTCCCACCTTCATGGCACTTAGAGTCTGTCCAGGCAAACAAGATTCATGCATGCATGAGGAAACCTACAGACTCTGTTCTTGGTTGGCTCCTCATCTTATAGACGGGGAAAACTAAGGTTGCAGGATAACTGACTTGCCCAGTAAATGGTGGTGTCAGGATTTGAATCAAGACTTCTCTTTCCCAATTAAATGCGATTGGGACCATAATGTATAACTCCCAGGAGTAAAAAGATATAGGCTTGAGATTAAAGGCTATAGAAATGCAGAGAAAAAAGGAACAATTCATTCGTTCAGCCAACATTTGATCAGGAGCAAGGCTAAGTGCCTGGTGCTGGGGATACAGAAAAGATCTGGTCTTATGTCTCAAACAGCTCAGTTAGCAGGAGTATCTCATCCCGCATAGAAAAGAAGTGATTGGCTGCCAGGAGGGCATAGAAGAGGGGCCCAGTCTGGTAGGGGTTAGAGAAGGCTCCTCAGAGGAGGAGGCAGAGCTGAGGCTTGCCACGGCAGTGGCCTGCAGGAGCAGATCACGTCTTTCTCCAGTTCCCTGTGAGCCTTTAGTGGCTCCCTCAGTGCCCTCAGGATGGAGTCCAACCACTTCACCTGGTACATTAGCCCTTCAAGATGAGGCACTGCTCCACCTCCAGCCTCCTCTCTCTATTCCCCCTGGAGCCCTCAGACCCCTTCTCTGCACCTTTGGTGGTAGGTTGGGAGGTGTTCCTCTTTAGGGAACCTCTTGGACATCCCCCCTCAAGCCTGAAAGGTGCTCCTCTGTATTGTTACACCTCCTTGTGCTCACCGTGGGACACTTGGCACTCTGTATCATCAACGCCTACCTTGTCTTCTTCCCCTGCTACAGGGTAAGTAACTTGAGTGCAGACCGAGGTCCCCCGTGCCCAGCATGAGGCCTGACAACAGAAGTTGTTCAATGCTGTTAAATTAATAGAGTGTGTCACCCTGGTGTGTCCCCACATGCTCTCACTGCACCAAATCATTTCTCTACCCTCCATCAAACCCTGTTCAATTGTCCTCCGAGGAGCCTTCTCATGGAACGCTCAACACACAACCCTTCAACACACCCAGCAACTACTCACTTTTTTTTTTTTTTTTGCTTTGCATTTTTTAATTTTATTGTGGTGAAAACACATACAACAAGACATTCGCCAACATAATAACTTCCCCATTTATAGCTCAGGGACATTGATGACATTTTTCATGTTGTGCCACCATTATTGCTGTCCTTTTCCAAAATATTTCACCACCATTAACATAAAATCAATGCCCCCAAAACAAAAGCTTCCCCTTTCCCCCCTCCCTCCTACCGCTGGTAACCACTAATAATAATATATATGTGTGTGTGTGTGTGTGTGTGTGTATTATGTGCCATTGAGTTGGCCCTAACTCATAGCGACCCCTCCTTGGGTTTCCGAGGCGGTATCACTATATATA